TAGGCCTCTTCTTAGAGCGGCCTTATATTCTATAGATGCTTCCCTTCCTGTCCGAGCTATTGCAATGAAACGAACTCTAAATCATTTCCAAAATAAATATTATGTGAATTTCGCGAATTCACATTTTGGATATAACTTTAGCAAACTTTAAAAATAAATCTAACTGAAAAAAGATTTTGATCAATTGTACATCGCAAAAAGACTGGTAGTCTTATTAAAATATAGAATTAAACCACCGCGTGGGTGTAATGATCTCAACACCAGCACACGATCATGAGTTTCGTAGTTTCAATTGTAGGAGTGACTGGTATGATGGCAATAAATTTACCCATATTTCGTGGTATCCAAAATATCACCGACAAAAGATTGATGCACCCAGGTGTACCAATAGGAACCATCGCAGAAGGAGAAATACATTATATTTTCTCCTATAGATACACTTTTTAACTGAATGTTCCCTTCTAATTGACAAGTGATTGATTGATCAGAGGCCTCTCCTAGACTCATTCACTCAGACTCACTCACTCCTCATAAGGAGATATTTAATATAATTGTCACGCTAGGCAACTGTAGTTTTATTTCTTCCTAATAACTTGTAGAAAATCTACAAGTTATTAGGAAGACGACACAACGGGCGATATCAGGTAGTGGATATTCTTACATTACTACTACACGGTCATGTTTTATTATATATTCTGTATAAAATCACTGTATAATGCTGTTGGAATTCAGTATACTGGATGACCCTTTTTACCGTCTGGAAAACATAGGGAGTAACATGTGCACGAAGTAGAAGCCTATGGCACTGATTTTTCACAAAAAAAAATAAAACAAATTTTGATATTTAAATATTTAAAAAAATAAAACAAACAAAATTAATTAATTAATTAAAATCTATCGAAATTCAAATCATATCCACCCTACTTTACGAACGGCAATAAAACAATAAATTTAGTAGGCATCTTTGACCTTGTCACTACGCAGGGTCACAGGCTCAAGGGCACAGGGCAAAGTTGTTCAAAAATAGTAGTTCAAAAAATGTTTTTCGAACGTTTAATTCGAAATCTTTGTCTTTATTTTTTGTAAAATATCAGTGCCAAATGCTTCTACTCCGTTCTCATATTACACCCTATTTTTTTTTTTCAGACGGTAGAAAAGGTCACCAGTATAATCTGTTATATTGCTGGAGGTGTTAAATACTTTCGTCAAACCCATTTTTTTCTAACGCCGAGTGAAGCTTAGGCACAGAGAGGCAGTTTGATTACAGGCTGTAAGGCATTCTATCTTAGTCTACAGAGGTGGAAACGGTAAATGGACTGCAGTAACCACTTACCATTAGGTGGACAGAATGTTTTTTTTTCATCGTATTTTTTTTAAACTTAAGAGTACTTTCTTTATTATACATTTCATAAGGCTGAACCAAAATAGCAGTAGACTTATTTATGATGCAGAATTACTACTGCGATGGTATTGGTGCCCTGCTCATCAACCCTCATATTGAGTATGGAACTATGGGTTATGTTAAATAAAGTTAAAATCTTTCAGACAGTGTGTGCTTGGCACATTCTTTCTTTTTTTGGGATTTTATCTTTAGGGATATGACAGCTCCTATCTAAGAAGCTCACATTTCAACTGTATAGGCTGAGCCAGGCCCACGTTCTTGTGGTTTAATTTTAATTTCATCATCAGCGAACATTTACATTTCTATTTGACATTATCTATCAACAAATGTTGGACATCCTCGAAAAACCAACACTCTCCGCAGTTAGGAAAGTCAATTGTCTTCAGCAAGAGCCCAAGCTTTCGACGCAGTCTCCAAACACCCTTTATTTATCAGTGGGTTAAGAAAGGTTGTCAAAGATGATTAATCAAGATCATGCTATACAGGTATAAATCTAGCTTTCTGTGCTTTCGAAGGCTTTTTGTCGTTATTTTTTTCTCTTTTAACTTTAAGTTAACTATACGCCGACCAAGCAATCTTTCTTCTCCTTTGAAAGCTCTACTTGTAACACTGAATATGTACGACGAGAATCGTCACGCATTATCTCAGATTGACGTTATTTTTAGAGTTGGGCCGATTAGTACTTTGGCCGATTGACCGATTAGCCGATTAATCGGTTAAGAAATGGCCGATTCATCGGCCGATTAATCGGCCCAGCCGATCCCTATTCGATGATAAATTCAAATGGTGGAACAAAAATTCTTCCAGATATCCAGAAATGTCCCGTTTAGCCAAAGTTTTCCTTTGCTGCCCCGCCAGCTCTGTGTATTGTGAGAGACTTTATTCTGAGGCTAAAAAATCGACTTCAACCAGAAAAGGCTGAGATTTTGGCCTTTTTGCAGCACAATATGCTACTGGTTAAAAATATCAAATAAGTAAATTAAATATTTTCTAAAAAGCCTTCAATACTTTTTCAAATTGAGTATTTCTTTTTAACAAATTATTAGATGATTATAGATTCTTTTTTTAATAACATTACAGGAAAAAAAAACAATTTATTGTAATTTTAAGTACAGAAAAATAACTGAATTAATTTTTAGTACAAAAACAGTAACAATTTAGTTTTAAGTACAGAAATAATGTATGAAGTATGTTCTATTTGTCTTTTAAAAATCTATAAGCGTGTAGTTTAACAAACTTTATTCAAGAATTAAGTATTTTTTGTTATGCAAAGGGAGAGACTTAAAATTTGTTTTTTAAAAGTTTATTAAGAATAATATTATTAATATTTTTTTTTTGTATCACTACTCTGCATTACGATTAGAAAAAGTTAAAAAGTAAAATTAAATCGTAAGTACTTAGGTTTTTGTTTAGTTTTAAATAGGTACCTCAGATTTTTTTACCAAAGTTCCTATGTCCAGAATAATTAACATTAAAACATGTGAGACTGATTTTTCAATAAAAGTTATGTATGAACCTACTTATTTTATTATTTATTTGATTTACCTACATATAAATCTGACGTGAGTTTACGCATGGGAGAGAAACTATACTTTTCTTAAATGTAAAGCTTTCAATACAGTCCTGCCCGTGACCATGAGTGCTGTAAAGCGTTCGAAACGTCGGGTATTTAAAAAGTTAAAATATACGCGATAAATTCCATAAAAACTAGTATTATTTCAATGTAAAGCTTTACTCATATCAATGTAGTCGCAGTTATCACGCAGAAAATCACGAAAAAACTTCGCTGAAATTAATAAAATAAAAAGCCGATTAAGCCGATCGGTGACTACAAATAGGCCGATTAATCGGCTTCACCGATTAGTCGGCGGCTAATCGGCCCAACTCTAGTTATTTCACATGATCAAAGTGTAGTTACATTACACCTGCTGAAATATATTTTTCCATTCCCGCCATTTGTCGGCTGTCAAAGCTACGTTCGCAGTGTAGAAGCGGTAGTAGAATATCCACTACCCTGTATCACCCCGTGGGTGTCGTAAGAGACGACAGAGCACAATCGAAACACGAGATGAGCAGCAGCCTCTTTCTAATGACCGAAAATAAGGAAAAAAACTGCGGTACCTAACTTCAATCGCAGTACCAAACTAATAAAACCAAACCAAGCGTAGTTACTATGGACAAATATCCTTCGATAAGGCGATGCATTGAGGAGGCTTATATTTTAAATGAAACTATTTATACGGATTTTATCGTGTTTAATTAACTTATTTTTTAACTCCCGACGTTTCGAGTGCTTTACAGCACACAGCACCCATGGTCACGGGGGGGGCTGACAGAATTAATATTCAAAAACTGAAGGTAGCCGAGCTAATTGTGACATTGGAACGTCAAACTTCTCAGTCCCCCCCCCCGTGACCATGGGTGCTGGAAAGCACTCGAAACGTCGGGATTTAAAAATTAAGTTAATTAAACGCGATAAAATCCGAATAAATAGTTTTATTTAGTAATAGCCTTTTGATAGGCTTTAATAAATGAAAAAAATCACGTTCGTTAGTTAGGAAAGTGCTCTTTTGTAAGTCATCATACTTTAAGTAATTAAACGAGATTTAATAAATCTAAAGCAAATCAATTCTATAACTTATCACCACATAACATTAATCAATAAAAACGACTATGCTGAGTATCGCATTTTATAACTTGCTTTACCGGCACTGATTTTATTCAGATTTATTACAAAATCTTTTCATCATCAATTAACAAAACTATTTTCTTGAAACATGACGCCCAAATTTAAACGGTGTGGCAATACTTCCGCCGGCTTTGTAATCGGAGCAAAGATAACGAAAATAAAAACCCATTACGCGTTCAAAAATTTAGAACGTCTAAGCCTAATAGGTGTTATAAATTTTATCGACCTCAAATTTTCGTATGAGTCGTCGCGTCCTGTGACGTCACCGCCGCGTGGACACCAATGGGGTTATTGACATGTCAAACTATTTCCGCGGCGCCAAAATAAAAAAGCGCGCGAATACGCGGGGGCGTCCTCCGTGTTTATTACTTCACTATGTTATCACCATATGTATTTGAATGCGATAATCAGATGAAAACAATAAATTGAGGCGTCGGCTTGCGGCCTGGGACGGTCTCGAGTTACGTTTTGAGCAAAGGAACGTCTAAAATTACCCCGCACGCACACTAACGTCCCACCAGTACCTACACACTCACACAACGCCGCCGCCTACATCTATTATCAAAACATCCACCGACTCTGGTTACAGCGATCCGAGCGCGCTTCGGATATCGCGTTACACACTTTAATGGCTGGAAAAGGCCTCGAAAACGTGATATTACACGCGTTTTATTGTGTATCGCGAAATGTAATTAATATTGTAACCGAATACAGAATAATTTATTTGGCGTATCCCCGCGAACCTTTCAGGACCCTCGGTAAGCATATCGAATTTAAAAATATACAGCTGGGTATTCTGTTACGAGATGAAGCAGGCCGTGTGCCAACAACACGACGCCGCTGTAACACGATGAGGAACTTCCTACAGAAACCCGCGTCAATCCTTGAAAATCTACAATTAAATCTTACCTTGATTTCTTCATTTTCCTTTTTCACTCGCGGTGGTGGCGATAAATTATTCGGCGTCTTACTCTCCATTTTATGTAACACAAAGTCAAGTTTCACAGAAATAAACACAAAGAATATGTTGGAAAATTGTCAAAGTTTTTCATGTCACAACTAACTTCGGTAAACGCGTAAACAATACACGTGTGCGCAACGAATCCCTACACATATACAACGTGCGGCGTTCGCGACGCGACTGAACACTGAACGTTCGCGGTAAAGTTGGATACTTCGTCTTCGTCTCGCTGTGAAAAGCTCCGGTATTTTTTCCCGCGCTCACTCAATGCAGTCAATGGGCGGAGTTTATTGTAAACGCGTTGGGCGGCTAACATTATTTATATCATTTAATAATTAACGATATTCTTTAAATATTAATATTAATAATAACTTAATTTTAAAGAAAATAAAACAAATATTGATAACGATATACAAAAAATTTTGTAGTTTGTGTAACGCCAGTCGACTCTACATAAAAAATAATATATTATACAGTATTTATCCTCTTATGTTTTTGCACTACCTACATAAATAACAAATAAAGCTTTTTCTACGATCTTCAATACATAGACTCTATCATAAATAATTATTTTGTTACTAAAAATATGTCTAATCTAATTAATAGTTATAAATTTTAAAAATTTCAATCTACATTGGTAAAAATGATAAATTGTTAATTAAAATGTCAATTTCTGATTAACCACCATCTTACAGGAAACCTTCATGTCTTAAATATTAAAAATGTTTCGAGCAAATGTGGAATCTACTAACCCGTAATGGGTCAACGTGCCGGACTCTTGGTTTCCTAAAATCTCAATCCGAAATGAGAGGAAACCTTAGCCTTACTGTGAGGACGTACGTAAAGAATGTAAATAAGTCCAATTAATATATTTTAAAATATTCTGAAAACATTTGATATGCATTATACAGTAAAAATCCTGTCTAGCACTAAATCTAACAAGCTTACTATTGCTCTACATTATTTTATTTATACACGTTAAGAACATACTTACTTTTATTTTTTAATTATTTCAAGCTACTCCTAAGAATACAAAAAAGTAAAAATAAATAAATTGTGTATGAAAATAAAAGAATAAAAATTGTGTACATGGTAGAGTCATGCTGCATCGTAATATATGGGTCGGCTCTACCGGGGAAGAACCAAGCTCTCACAGAATACCAGCGTAGTATAGTAGCATAATGCTACTGCGTTTACTATGGTGTTATCATCTCGGAGGACTATGATGGAGCGCCTCGTTTCCAGTAAAAAGTGTCTCCGGTTCTCTACACTCACCATATGAAACACAGAATTAAGCTGCTATTGTGCGCTGGTTCGCTGGTATTCTGTGAGAGTATTGTCCTATCCCGGTTGAGCTGACCTCTTCGTGCTACCACCATAATATAGCTATGACTTATATCGTCTGATAATGATAAAGGCTTGTACATACTATGTTGGAACGGTAAAAGTTCTTTAATAGGAGTTTTAATTTAAAACTCTTGAATTAAACGTATGAAATAAAATTTTGAACAATTACTTTGCCCTTTGCGCTTGAGCCTGTGACCTAGCGAAGTGACAAGGTCAAAGATGTGTACTAAATATATTGTTTTATTGCCGTTCGTAAAGAAGGGTGCATACGATTTAAATTTCGATAGATTTTTATTTATTTATTTATATAATTCAAAATGCTTGTTTTAACGAACGAAAAAGGTCACCAGTATAAGTATACTACTGTATTTTGACAGTATAAATTATAAAAGGGAATAAATACTTACCTGGTAGTCCTAGCCGTTTCTTCTCCGGTCAGAGGGACCTCAATTTAATACTATAGTAGATTTAAATAAAGAGCAACAAGTGACAGTAGGAATCGCATCATGAAAGAATTCCGCACTATTGCATGTTTTGAGCCTATTCGCTGCTTGTGCTGCTGTGGGACTGGACCGCCCGGGTTTGCAACACATTTATTATCTTTAATTTTGTTTATTGCGCAAAGCCCTTGGATATGTTTTACTACCGCCTAAAAATCAAGAATTCAACGTTTTGTCGCATGAAATCGTATCTAACAATCATATTGAACAAATAAATGATATAAAAAGCACATTGTCAGAAAGATAAATGATTGTTGAACTTATTTTTTTTTTAAATCGATTAATTGCTATTTTTATACATATTAAAAAGTGGATTTTACTGGCTTATGGCAAGAATATTAAGATTTATCTAGTCCGCATGGAGGGATGAACTTTTGAAAATATCAATTGTTCAACTCAATCTATTTTTTTATTTCTTCATCTATCATGTGCGAATCCGTGGAATGTCAACGGTTGTTTAATTTTTGTTTTGTTTAGTTATAAATAATTTTTTTCGGCTGGGAAATTACGAAATTGCCGGTACTTGAGCAGCCTTGTAATAATATATTTTTACTAAATACAGATACACTCTGACTGACTACGGGCTCGGCCGCGGTCGTGAATGGGTTACAGTATCGTTCCTTTACAGCGGCTCGTGATGAAAAACATCCATCGTAGAAATATAAAATTTCTAAAAACCAAATTTGATTCTTACGTGATCAAGGCAAGATATTATTATTTTTATAATCATAGATTTTCATTACAATATATTGTTTCGCTAAAAGTACGTAGAATTAATATATAGAACTAGGTATGCCGAGTATGGCTTTGTTTTGTTAGTTATGTATGTTATGTTATGTATATCTTACCTCCGGACTTGAGAGTGACCTGAAGGTGTACTTTAGTAAATGCTTAATTAAAATACTGGTCATGACTAGATGAGAAACTTTTTGAAAACGAGTTTTTATTAACGAGTACAAATACCCAAAAATAAAGTATACAAATATATATATACATATATATATATATATATACAGAATGGGTCCCACATATATGCAATAAATGAAACCACAAGTAATACTAGTCCGTAGAAGTGTAGAAAAATTAAATATTAAATTAAAACCCGTAAAATAAAAAAGTGAAATTTTCAAACAAAATAAATATTAAAATAAATTCAGTAAAAGGGAACACTCTGTTTAGACAACGTACCTTGACCCCTTGGAAGAGTGACAACGTTGCACGCGGGTGGCACGCCGACAAAAGACACAGCTGTCGATATGTCGCAATACCAATAGTTTGTACTGCGTGGCAACGTCGCTTTTTAATGTTCAAGGATTCAAGTTCATTGAATCATTGACTTAATGACCCAATTCTATAGAGTGTTCAAATTTGCTTAAAATTAAAACTCTACTTTTTGACCTAATTACTGGACCGATTACGTTAATTTTTTGTATATCGTCAACAAAGGCGATAACAAGTATATGGTTTCATTTATTGCATATATGTGGGACCCATTCTGTATATATATATATATATATATATATATATATATATATATATATATATATATATACATTAATGTTGATTTCTGATCATTTTAAGATAATTCTGTTGGAAGTTTTTTCAATTTACAAAATTTTTTTGAATCTTAATAATAATAACATAGTTAAATTTAAAAACAATATTTTCTGTTGTTGATTGAGAATTTATTTCTACATTTTTTCAAGATCATATGAGCATTATGAGTCGTGCACTTTTGTATTTTCAAACTTATTTTATTGACGTTTGACTTAAAATTATCGGAAAATTGGAAGTAATAGTACTTAATAAGATTATTTGTTGCAAACTTGTGTGCATTTAAAATACTTTAAAAAATTGACGTAGTTTTGATTTTTTACCTTTAGATTAATTACTTTCGGGCATACTCCATTTAATTTATGTTAGTAAAAAATAGAGACTATATAGGTCCCACTGCTGGGTACAGGCCTCCTCTCATTTCTGAGAGGGTTTTAGGGCAGGGAAATGTTGTTGCCTTAGCCAGTATCGGAATCCTCGGCGTCGACATATCGAGTGACGTGCAGTTTCGTGGTCACTTGGAAGAGAAGGCCGAATTTGACTTCTAGAAAGCTTGGCGTGCTCAGCAGAGTGGATAGTGTTTCATGCTGGCACACCGCCTGCAACTTTACAAGGCGCAGGTTCGGCCGCACATGGAATATTGTTCCCATCTCTGGGCTGGGGCTTCCCAGTGCCAGCTCCTTCCATTTTATCGCATCCAGTGCAGAGCCGTTCGAATCGTCGGCGGCCGAGTTCTTTCTGATCGGCTTGACTCACTGGCACCGCGAAGAGATGTTGCATCTGTTTGCGTATTTTATCGCATTTATCACGGAGAATGTTCTAAAATATGATATCTAGAAATATGAGGAATTGTTCGGACTATTTCCAGCCGAATAATTTTACTATCGCACATAGCGACAAAAATTGGCGATACCATCCATAACATCTGGATGACTGGCGGTCCACCACCGTGCGATTTAAAAGAAGTTTTCTTCCTCGCACAACTTCCTTGTGGAATCGACAACCACCAGAGATTTCGATGATCGATACGATTTAGTGACCTTCAAGAAAAGAGCCTACCCTTTTTTAAAAGACGTGCAACGCATCTGCAGTACCCCTGGTGTTGCCGTTGTACATGAGCAGCGGTAAACACATTCTATCAGGTGAACCGTATGCTCGTTTGCCCCTCTCCTATAAGAAAAAACTAGGCTTCTTGAAGAAATTTTTATAGATCTTTTTAAAGTCGAAGGTCACTATTATTTAACAATAATTGATGCTTTCAGCAAATTAGGACTGGCCTTTGAAATAGTTAACGGATCGACTCCTGAAGTCGTCAGAGCTCTTCTTAAATATTTTTCTTTTTACGGTGTCCCCCACAAAAGACCCGCGGTAGTCCGACAAACGTTTTACAAGACAGCATCGGATTATCAAATTTATCGGACTATAAGAGTACTTCCACAGCGACCTGGTAGTCAGGAACTTTTTGAAAAAGAGTATCTCTATCTGTCCCCCTTCTTTCGCTGATTCTGCGCTATTCAAACATGTCAATAGTGAAATATAAAACTGCAAAATTAATTTTGTGAAAGAGGAAAAATAAGAAGTTAAAAATTAGGAGTGCATATATATCATTTATGATC